GATGATTAACATTTAAATTCTTATTATTTAGCTACTTACTGAAACATACTCCAGAAAAAGTCAGGAAATGTTATCGAATTTGTCATAAATAGCAGTATTGCTTTATTTAACTCGATATTCATGCATGAATCGATAGTTTCTTTTCTGTCATTTTAATATCCTGAAATTCCAATTTCGCGTTTTATTAAAGATATCTCTATTTCTAAGAACTAGGAACACCGCTTGAAGAATCAAAACGCATAAGCGAAGAAATCGATTTAAAATTAGGGAATGTGACTACCAACTTTCGTAATGCAGGTAAGGAGAGAGAGAGTTTCTTAACCTTTTTCTTCATAAATTCTTCATTGTGCCTTATTAAAAGATGGATAGGACAAAAGATGCTTATTTCTGTATGGCACCTACTCCCACTGCAATTGTTTTTAGAGATCATTATCTTTTCTGCTCCACTTTATGTGGGTTTAATGTACTTATGGGCTTGCTCTCTATTTGTTATCTACATACTGTTTGGCAGGTGTTGTAGGAAGACGTAAAAGACAATCTACCATCACAATAATCCGATCTTGTCCGCAGTGTGATAGCCTGGATGGTGTGGACATCGAACAATACATTGATATAGGTAAATAGAATTGTTTTGGTTGCTTTTATGTTTGGCTGTGTTTCTGTTTAATTATCTGTGAATTGTCGCATCAGATGCATCTTCTTGCGGATGGTTTACTTAAGGTGCATTTTTGTAATATTTTAATATTTTTTCATTTTCCTGCAAATCAAATTACACACTTTATTCAAGTCATGAATAAAAAAGATTTCTTTTAGAAAATCTTGCTTCTAGAAAACAAGTACTTTTACTTTTAAAATGTCAAATAAAATGAGAAAATGATTCTATATCAAACCAAAGAAACTACATTCTACCAGTCATGTTGCCTGGGTAAGACGTCCTTCAGACACCCTGCATTAGATTGAAAGCCATGGGTCTGTCATGGTGTGAACTTTAAAACCGAAGTAGTGACTCTTCCTTAACCAAGTTCCGGCAATAGAGCAAAATTCACGGTTCTTTTTGACAAGACTTCAAAAACCGTTGTCCCCTGCCACGATGGGCATTAGCATGATAAAGAAACCTGACTGCTCAATGGTCAGGAGTAGAGATGTTAATTCTTAAGTTAATGAGACGTAAATCACATGCCGTCAAACATTCCATTTAATATTTGAATAAAAACTACATATGATTATTAGTAATATGTTCGTTAATCCTGACAAGGTCAGAATCAGAGCAAAAGATTTTTCTAAAGCTTAATTGTTTAAACAGAGGGATATTTGGATATAAAAATATATAATTAATTTATACAGAAAAGGTTTTAATAACTTAGGGATGATGTGTCGATTGATTGATTATACATGTATGTTGTTTAACTTCGCTCTCGAATTTTTCTCTCAAATAGAGACGCCACCACTTGCTGGTGGAGAGCTGAATATTTTATCCTGTGATCGGCACTCAGTGCCATTGAGCGGGGAGCTCGAGGGGTCTTTTTCGTGCCAGCATCTACTGCGATAGGAGACTTCGGTTTATTCGGTCTCATGCGAAGGACAGGTTTCCACGTCCCACAGTGGGATACGAATCCGCTACGTAAGGATTAACTTCTTACTTCGCAACTCTGGAGCAGCCGCTTTAACCACTACGTCACGCATACGACTTACATGTGTAAAAAAAAAAACAAAGAAAAAAACTGCGTTTATACATCAAATCTTTACTTGGAAATTGTTAGATCATCATCATAAAAAAAGCCATAGGATAAAAAACTATATTTACATTTTATTAAAAAACAAACAAATTATTATAAGTTAATTTTACATTTTCACCTGATCCTAATCCAATAAAGAGATATTAACGCGATTTTCATGTAAAATTTGAAAATCAAATGCTTGTGTTTATTTATGCTAGTTTGTGGACCAACGGTGTTATTAAGCATCGACAGCATCATGGAATTGGCTGACCGGTATCGACTAATATTTAACACAACATTAGATTTAAATAATTACGACCCAATCATTCAAGAGGTAAGGAATAGTTCTTTAAAAAAACAATAAACGATTTTATTAAAATTTCCAATTGATTGATAAAAGCATGTTTCTCAATGTTGAACTTGAAAGAAGAATGTGTTTTTAACTTTATTTCTATTAAAAAAAATATGCAAACGTGGGGGAAAAAAGAATCTTTTTGCGATTGAAACATTCACATAATTATATCTATCTTTTTCAATTTCATTTTAGGTGGACTTTGATGAAAAAAGTGTCATATATCAACTTACACCGTATTTCAGGGTTGTAGCTGACATCAAAAGTTACAAATATAGAATAGAGCAGACCATCTATACCAAGGATTCAACACCAGTTTCTCTTCATTTCAACAACTTGAACGAAACTGCTAAGTTTTTAGCCGGAGAAATCATGGAGAAACACGTTTATGGTCCAGGCACAGGATTTGGCTTTGCATAATAATGGTTTATGCTTCATGTTTCTTTTATAAATGATCGAATCCATATAATATTCAGTACATTAACATAATAAAGGACTATTTCGAATACGATATTTTTGATTTTTTAAAATCATAATATCGTGTAAAGGGTTGAAGATAAATCCTTTATTTATAGAGAATAGCTACATGTATATATCAGAAATGAAGTCCATATTGCCACAAAAACCTTAAGAAAGGTATTTTAAAACTTACCAAAGAAAACTGTTGGTATCGAGTTTAATTAATCAAAAATTATGTTATCATATTCGTTTAACTGTATATTTTGCACAGCTCTATTAATTCTTCTGTACTTTTTTGCCATAGGTGATTTTTATATCCGTAATTCATCGATCTTTGAAAAATACACTTTTTTGCAATTTTTTGTCTTCAAATAATCGCTTATGATCAGTTATAGGCTCTCTATTCCCTGTACTTGGGAGAAAGAAATTAGATGATGAGTTAGATAAAATATGAAAAAATACATTTAAGGAATGAATTTAATAGCTACCCATTTTATACGGTATAAACTGGGATGGGGCAGTTTACGCTTTATAAACCGCGACGCTGTTTATAAAAAAGCTGTTCCAACCCAGTTTATACCGTATAAAATGGGTAGCTATTAAATTCATTGCTTATAATTTAATTTTTATTCATTTGATGTAAGAAAAAAGATGATTTTCCAGCAAAATGACTTCAATTTGTACAAATTTGAATGTAACGTCCCGCGGATTGATACGTTTTTGACGAAAGTCATTGTGACGTAGGCAACCCATTTTATACAATATAAAGTAAATATTTTATCCGACCAAATACAGCGTTACAATCAGAATTAAATTATATACATATAATTAAAACAATAAATCATTTCTTTGAAATCGGAACACTTCTTTTCTTAAGAACTTAAATTTCAAAGACTTGAAGAGACATACACTACCAGAAGTAGCACTATCTTCAGCATTACTTTTTGATCTCTTCGACTCATGTGAGAAAACGCATGCTTTATTTTTTTAATAACCTCAATTCAAATAAGCATTACCATTTTTGATTTTGTAAATCATATCACTATTACAATGATCTAGTTGGCAAATATAATCTATCATTGGGTTGTATTCAACTAACATATTCCATACAAATCATTAGGGCTTTGTTATTTTTGTTCAAAATTTGACTGTAGAACGTTAAACATGCACTGCATGGTAGTGAGGGAGACACTTTTTCGCTCTTAAAAAATCTCAAATTACTTGAAAGGAAAATGATTGTTCGTGGGCGAGAAAACTTCATATCTCCCTAACATTCATTCGAAAACATTTTATTATCCAAGATGCACGAAATTTCAAGAAAATTAAATGAATAGAACAATGTGAAACAGATATCAGTCATACCGTTAGCATCGCTTATAAAAATTGCTATATTCCTACTTGCAAATTCTGTTTGATTTATAAACCAGTAACTTTAAACCCCATCCCTTATACAAATGTAATTTTTTGGTTTAATTTTACATCTTTGAATCAACACAATCAATCGACGATAGAAAGAAACTAATTCACTAAATACGGTTTTAGTTGCCTTATTGAAACATCACAATCAGTTTTCTTTGCATAACAAAGACAATTGTCACATGACTTTCGCGACCAATCGCATTTTGCCAAACTTGTGATGGATTATACAACTACATATATATATGTATATAGATACATTAATTTCATGAAGTATAATAAAATACTTCTATTGCATAAGGGAATTAAATTGGAAGATTTATCCAACCAAGAAAAGTGATATTTCGAGAGGACGAAGGGAAAACAATTTTTTTCTTGGTTGAATTTTTTTTCACAAACTGATGCAACGAATTGTTTATCAAACCGAAGCAAACCAAGTCTTTAAAAAATGAACACTCGGTTTCAAATTCAGCACTGTTATAACGTCACTATCAGTTATTAAATGTCTATGAAACATTTAACTGAAGTCTTTTTGAAATTCAAAGGCGTTTCCTTGATTATTCATTCAAAGCATCCTTTTCGAAATATGATCATTTATTTTATCAATGCTGCTCTCGGGAGTTTTCATTTAACGAATGAAAACTATTACGGCAAAATTCATGACATTTCCGAAAAAGTTTATTTTATTGAATAACGAAAGAATGTTTTGTTGCCCTGTCACGTGACTGTCTAAAACCTGTTTCAAACATGTCTTGTAGAATAATTATAACGACGTATAATTGTCCGTCAAGTTGTTTCATACATATGGCTCATGGTGGGTAAGACCGGTCAAAAGTGGGATGCTTATATACTCATATTCTTCTGATCCCACTCGTTCAATTACCATAAATCCTTGCTTTTTAGCCTGTTTACAGATTTTAATGGTTCAAAATTTTGTTAGGTTTTCATTTATAAACGTAAAAAAAATAAGTCAACAAAAACTATAAAAGCAATCTTTATGTAAAATAGTTTTAAAAATATTGCTTACCATGTGTTATAAGAGACAAGTAAAAAAGTATATCTTTAGAATTTATTAAAAGATTATATGAAAGCTTTCACAGAGATGAACGTAAAGAAGAGAATATAATAAAAATATCATGACATAACATACTGTCAAAGTGGCAAAGTAAACAACGGTAATTTTCAGTGTCTTCTGAGAACTATTAGGCAAGGAAAGTATCTCTATATTTATGTGTGAATATTGCTTTGGGAAAGGAATACATACTATGGTCTAATATTCTTTAAGGAATAATTTTTTATTTAAGCAGTAATACATTTTTAGAAAGTCCTCGGGTTATTTTCATTCGGTGTCGTCCGCAAACTCCTCCTTCTTCTGATCTAATTCACCGTCTTGCTGATCATCTGCTTGTTTCAAAAAACATGAAATCAATGAATAGCTCTGTGTCAATTTACAAAATAAGCAAAAAATGTTTAATTTTTAATATTAACAATTTATGCTTCAATGCTTTAGTAATGATAGTTTTAATGAAAGTTTACTTTTGAACAAAAAATATGTTTCAAGACAATACTATTGAAATGATTTGATTTCAAAACTTCCTTTCCAATTACTGCGTATATGGTAGGTGGAAATCTGATTAGAGGCCTAAAGATGAAAAAAGATGTGAATTGGGCACAAAGACAGACAATAAACTCACCTTGCGGGTCTCCAGCACATACGTCTTCATACAGGTCCATGTACTCCTCCTTGGTCAGGATATCATCTGTAGGGTAAACATTGTTATGTCGTAAAATTTTTTTTATTCAATGAAATAATAAATCTTTAATCTTACGACAGAGTGATACATTAAAGATCAGTGTGATTTAATTTACTTCGAATCCTTCATAAAACCTTTACTATTATCATCTCTCTCTAGTTTAAAGATTACAAAAAGTAATAAATTACTACATGTATGACTATCCGGTAGATTTCACATCGAGTCATTCGTCATGTATGTTTACAAGTAATTATAATGCCCCATTTTCTCTGAGTACATTATTTGCGAGCAGTATCATTAATTTTAGGAAGTTTTCTGACTAATTTACACACCACTGTTCTGGTCCAGTTTATCAAATAGGTCTTCTAACTCCACTAGTCCTGTACTTTGAATCAAGGTTGCAAATTCATCCTTGCTAACATTGTTGTCGAAGTTCAAATCAAGAGTGTTGAATCTACAGATATCTATATCAGGTATTTCCTGCACAAAAGATAGAATAAATACATATTTACCTCTTACATATTGAAAAGATAAAAATTAATTTATAGAAAAAATAAATTATCTAAAAAAAAAAAAATGGAGAAGACTTTTATTAGAGACGCAATTGTTTCGAGACTTTGGTTATTATTTTTTCTGAATAACGTTCATATTCATACTGCGTTTAAAACATAACTTTATGTAACCTCAGAGTACATTTCCTTTCAATTTAGATTAAAATAGCACAGCCTTAAAAAGTGGCATCAGGTATGAAAACCTTAAAAAGAAGAACTATTTTTAAAAGTTAAGATGTTTAAAATGATAGATGGCTTTTTTCAGACTACCTAAAATTAAGATATTTCTATTTGTTTTGCTACTTTATATTAAGATAGGACTTTCCTGTAAATTACACAATTTAAATCAATCGCGTTTCTTTCATATAGATATCACAGATTTAAAACAATAACTGATTTATTTCCGACTCAGAAATAAATATCAGACACAGTTTAAAGTCAATTTAAATAACAAAAACGTGAATCTCGAATTTTTATTTTTTAGCTCACATAAGCCATATATAGCTTTAAAAATTAAGGAATATTAATACGTTTATATAAATAGTATACAAGAATAGGATTTTTCAAACATACGCTTTCTACTGATCGCTTTCTGTCTCTCCTAAACATGTCCCGTAATCTTCGTGCCATGGAAGCTACTGTAATCACAGTGCCTGCAACCTTTATTGCTCTACCCAAACCACTGGTCCGGGACCTAGACCTTGATCTAGAAGAACGCCTCCGGCCCCACGATTCCGCTTGGTCAATTGTCAGAAGACCAATCAGACAAAGAACAGCGAGGGAACGGAAAATAAGCTAATTATAAAAAAAATTATAAATGAAATTGATTGTACTATGTATGATTAAAATGTTGGCAAAACAATTTTGTCAGAAAAATTCTCACAAGAAATTACAAAAGATAAAATACAATGAAAATATATATATTATAAGAAAATGTATTTTGGCGTTGACTTATACTCTCTACCATATTTAATTGAGGTGAGTTAAATTGTAACTTAATTAAAGTAATTACCATGACTTCAGATGCTGCCTCTCACCTCTAAGATAAAAAATGAATGTTTGGAGAACTTATTTATACTGACGACAACTTCCTTGTGAAAAGAACAATGACGTCAAACATCTTACATCTACCTAATTTCTACTTAAAACTTGGTTTCTTATCAAACTTACTAACATATTTACAAGTATTTTGCATGATAAATTTCATTGGTGCTTTAAAAATGAGTTTTATGAAAGTGAAACTACGTCAGAAACATTTCTTAGAAAGATGCTCTTTGAACGAGGTCAAAATTTGAAACATGTTAAAATCGTGTAACTTAGAAATCCCGTAGATACTATATTATTATAAGTATTTCATAGTTCGAAAATTTTCAGTACGAAAAACATTTATTGTTAGATAAGACTTATTGTTAGATAAGACTTACTGTCGATGATGTATGAAAGAAATAAAGTTTTAAGACAACGTGATTAAGGTTTAAGGATGCCGATTGCCAGAATGTTATCATTTTTACAACGTAATAAATATATATTTGAGTCTGTTTTTAAACAGAAACGTGTACAACATTTTTAAGAAATGTGAATGATAGACAAAACAATGGAGAATACCGTCATGCAGACTGATTTCTTTCTATTTAATTCCATAAATACTCATTAAACAGAATACTGTTTCGCGTAATTACATGAAAATAAAGTTCTCGCGAATGAAAAGTAATTAACAGTATGAGACAATGGTATAAAACGTAATGTTTCAAAATATAGACCTGAATCTATCTATACTCAGAGAGTCGTCAAATAATATGTTATAGAAATCCGTATGCCTCATGTAACTCATAATGTCTCAATTTCTTCAACACATTATTTCAACAAATAGAATTGATGCAAAGCATCAAATCGGCCGCAAACATAACATTTCAAAAAGTACTTTCAATTCTTTAAAGCATCCATGCCATGAAAGCGCAAGATATTCAAAGCTGAAATACTGTATACAGGGAAATTTTCATTTTCGCCCCTTTCACCCTCTTCTTTTTTGATTTAAAACGGGGCGAATATAAATTACACAGCATAATTTCTTAAACAGAACTATGACTGGGCGAATTTAAAACGGGGCAAAATTGTTTGCAAGTGTGAAAGGGCGAAAATAAGACGGGGCGAAAATAACCATGTATACAGTAGTGATCATTTATATTGCAGGCTGTCTTCAAAGCAAAATAAATAATTTTTATAAAATTTAGTAGAAATTTTAGTGCATTTACCCATTAGGCCTAAATAGAGTCATTGATGTATATAATGAAGTCAATGATAAATGTTAATTTATTGTCATCAAAATGAAAATATAGGCCTATCAAGATGAACCATGTGCTGATACATTGGACCTTTGTCAAGTGATAATGCCATGGTTTCTGCAGAGTGGGCTATGCTGCAAAGCGAGGGCGGTGCAAAATGTAGAGAAAGATATCCTTCTGCAGCTGTGGCACATTCAAAACAATTTTTACTTCTTGAACAACTTTTAGATTTTATTTTTCAGCAGGTATACGTTTACGTCATTATAATCCGGAAAATAATGACGATTTTCCTTCATATCTTACACACTCCCAGACTGGGGAGTAGCTATTGTAAAGTCTTTTTATTTAACCATAAATAATCAATTATCTGATGAGAAATGATAATTAAATTAAATCATAATAACAGCAATTGATACTTATGGTTTAAAGCATGTTATTGAAATATTTTACTCCTGATTTTAAAGATGTTATCATTTCAGAATTATTTTAATGAGCCGTTATAAAAAATAATCTAATCTAGTCTCATTTCTCCATGTGCACTTTCTAACACAACCACAAATAGATCGGCCGCTGCTGCGGCCGATAATAATTAAAAAGATTTGACAAATTTTGATAAAGGCAAATCATATCCAACTGTGGACTCCTTTCTTACTTAAAATTTTCAAACAATGAAAATATAATGGTACCTTGATTAAATAATGGTACTTTTAACATATAAGTTTCAAAATTTGACTTTTGTAAAAGAGTAGCTTTCCTAGAAAGCCCTGGAGTTTTAGGTCACCCGATGTCGAATCATCTTAAAGTGGTTTCACTTTAAGGAACAAACTTTAAAATACTTGTAGCAACGAAAGAAAACTACGCAAAAATTTTACTAAAAAGCGTGATAAAAAAAAAAGAGTTGTTTAAAAGTGATAAGTAGATGTTAAGTAGATGCTGATTTTTTTTGGAGATACCCAAGTTGTGATGTCATTGTAATATATTAAGGAAGTTTACCATCAATATAAATACCGTCTACGAAATAACATAAGCATATCTTCATCTTCGCGGCTAGACGCATCATCTGAAGTCATGGTAACTACTTTTTTAGCATGCTTATTTAATGTAGTAGGAAAATATTACCCTTTTAATTTTCTTTCTTTCTTTTTTGGTTATTCCAATATTTTTGAGTTTTGATAGATATCATTAATCTATTTATATTTTTTTAATTAAATATAAGCTCAACTCCCGTTACCTCAATGTTCTTCTCCTGATTTGTCTTCTGACAATTGGCCAAACAGAATCCTGGTCACGAAGGCGCTCTTCACGTTCTAGATCCAGATCTAGTGGCTTGGGCAGGGCAGCAAGAGTTGCAGACACAATATTTACCATGGCTGATTTGGCACAAGTATTCCGTGACATGTTTAGAAGAGACAGAAAGCGATCCGCTGAAAACGTATGTTTGAATATCTATGTAAAATTAAACCACACTAATATCCCTAATATCTAATATTTTTGAGGAGGTTTATACTAGCAAAAGTTAAGGGAATCGGTAAACATATATACCTTAAATTGAGAAAATAATGTTGAATTTCAATCATAAAAATTACTCAATCCTCATATCAGTTGACAATGAATTTAACTGTTGGATTAAAAAGTTACCTGTGAATTTTTAAACAGATTAATTTATTTACGAGTAATAAGAAAGGGATCAAATAACGATAATCTATGCTTTACTTTCTTTTATACAGGCAATACCTAATATAGATATATGTAGATTCACCACACTCGATTTAAATGACGACAACAACGTTACCAAGGAGGAATTAGACACTCTGATACAAAGCACGGGATTACTGGAGTTGGAGGAATTATTTGAACAGCTCGATCAAAACAATGGTAGGTATTTAAAAAAATGAATTGTGCTCACAAGTAATCACATGTATCCAGAAAAAAAGTGAATAATAAATTTTAAAATATATAATATATACGATATTTAAAAGTTTTGGAAACAGAGTAAAAATAATTATAAAAGAAAATTACTATGCACAATTTCCAACTTAATTAAATTCGATTAATTTTATTATTTTGCCGAAACAAAAAGACGGGAAATATTTTTTGACCTTACAGATGATATGGTGACAAAGGAGGAGTACATGGACCTGTATGAAGATGTATGTGATGGAGCCCCGAAAGGTGAGTTTATCTTTTTTTTCTGAGTGTTTGATATTTATTCGACATATTTATGCAATTTACATGTATTTTATTTTCAATATCTCGAGTTGCTTTTTGTACCCCATTATTAGCAAACCTACTTACAATGTATCAACATGAAGAAGAGTTAATTCAAAAACCTTTTTACATGAAAAGAAGTCACTTGAAATGGCCTTCAATTCAACATTGAAACAAATTGACATCGTTTTTCACAAAACGATAATTTATTTTCATTCGTTAATTGATTTTGATTGGATATTTTGCTAGAAAAGAAATAAATTTTTGCAACTGTACAACTTTATCATAGATGTGATGACATCATCTTTTTTCTGTCGTGAACTTGCTTTATTCATTTAACAATACATACAAGTGCCCACTCTCACTTTTTTCCTGACTTTACTTATTACTAATAGAAATGTCAGTGACAGTCCGCTCCCTTTCATTGCAGGTCAGCAAAGGGTAATGTAGCATGTTTGAGTAAAAGAGTAAAAAATAAACTTAAAGAAGTTAGACACCTCCCTCTTATATACACAAATACGAAATAGGATTTTCGAATTTAGACTATTTTCCATTTTTTCTAAAATGTAGATTTTTAATTTTTTTTGCTGGACCCCCAGTTTCGAAAACGGTGCTACGTCACTGCAATATACCATTATCTCCTGTATATGCTGTACATATCTCTTAGTTGAGTTGTACAGAAGCAACATGCTCTACATGTACTACTGAAAATTTCTAAAACGAGGGAAGCTATTGACAAAAAATAGAAAATACAGGAAATCAATAGTCCCGTAAAAATCAACAGTTTGCAAAAATAATAACCATATGGTCGATACAACGACCTTGTTTGCAAATGCAACCATTAACTCCCATGTTGGCTGAGGTTATCATGCAAATTAGGAGGTCAATTCTTTCACCCTTAATAATCCTTATACTTTTCAATCTGCTCTATCATGATATGGAGCACACAGCGGGCATGACTGGTTGACAGGGAATGCTCACTCCTTCCTGAGACCTGATCCGACCTTTGGTGTTTTAGAGGTCCGTGTTTGTTCTATCCTTTAAATTTTATTCCAGTTGACTTTTGAACTAGATTACTGTTATCGTCATAATTATTTCAATTTCCTAAACCTCAGTCAGAAAATGAAGTATTGAAATCGAATCAAATCAATAATAACGAAAGGGGTCATACATCACGTAAACTTCATTTCGCTTAATTTATATCGACAAATAATTCTTACTTCGTTGATTTTTTAACATTTTTTTAACTCTAGCAAACAACCAACAAAACGACAGAGACCTGAAGAAAGATGAATAAACAGAAGACACAGTTTGAAAATAGTTTGAGGATTAGGAAACTTTTCAAATCATTTCTCTTATCAGTATAATACCTTAGAGTAGCTTTCACTATGTATTTATTTCATATACCAACGCAGTATTTCTACACATATAAAGAATACTTTGTCTGAATGATATTCAAAAACACTGAAAATTAACTGGGATTACTTTACCAAATTTACGATTTAAATTGAATGTATATACATTTTTGTTGTATTTTTATTATTCTCTTCACCTTTCATGAGACTTTTTGTATAATCTTTTAATAAAATGCTATAAACAGTAGATATTTGTTTTTATTTGTTTCTAATTACAAGACTGGTCGTCTTTTTAATATTCAAGTTTCGAAATTCAGAAAATGATACTTATGTTTCCAAATCTGAGTTGTGATCAAGGCAATAGAATTTATGTGTTTTATGTGTCTGATGTGCAACATGTTTTATCATTGACTAATTAAAAAAATAAAGTAAATGCAATGTATCATGTGTATTCTTTTTATTACGAATAATGATTTTTAACGACAGGCACGTAGCAACAGGGGGCCTGCCCCCCCCCCCCCCCACTTTTTCCCCAACAATATACTAAATGAAGTTTTGGTGTCTAAGGGAAATTTAGTACAAAAAATTGGTACCGAAAAAAAAATTGGCATCGAAAAAAGAAAAAGTTGGCCTCTCCCCCCCCCCCCCCCACACACACAATAAGGTTTTCGACCTTGGCAACTTTTCTTTTTTCCTTTTTTTCTTTCTTTTTTTTGCTTGTGAACTTTTTCAGTTAAGTAAAAAAAATTCTCTGTCTGACCCCCCACTTTCAAAAACGATGCTACGTGGCTGAACGAATTGAAAATTATACAAATATGGTATCTTTTAAAATATAATTTTCAGTTCGTTAAAAATCATTATTCCTGATTAAAAGAATGCACATGATACAGGAGTATACATGTAGATAAATAAGTTTTTGGAAAGTACTGGGGGATTAAATTGAGATAAACAAACCCTTTCCTGGAATATTAAGTTGACCAATTTGTTTTTGTGGCGATTTGGAATTTTATATAGTATTCCTCAAAGAAAGTCTAGATTTATTTGCAGTCCCAAGACTTTAATCAGCAACTAGGAGTAATTACCTCCTGAAATAAAATATTATCACCCTAATTCTCTAGGCACCACCGCAAGTTAAAGTCCTTTTTAACCCACGGTGATAATACATCCAGTGGATAATGTTAAGGCCTTTTCACAATTGGCGCACGAGCACTTTACAACACTTTGCGATCGGAAAATTTTAGCTTCGCACGAGCTCTCGCATACGTTGCACGATGTTTCGCATTCGTTGCATGCGTTTTAGTGGTCGCATCAAGTCTCCTCAAAACAGTTGACATACACACTATTCAGACGCGACCAAATGCAATCCACGTTTATCGCAATTCAACGCACGAATATTAGCACGAGCGTCTTACAACGTTTTGTGTACTCTCAAGAGTGATGCGCGATTTTTAAAGGTCGTAAGATGAATCGCAACTGTATATTATGCGTGAGTTGTGCGACCATGAGACTGTTGCTCAACGTGTCTCATGTAATCTTGCAACGTTTTACTATGCACAATTTATCAGCTTCAATTTCCCATGCTTTGCCACTAGTATATGTAAACCCTGTATAAGCATCTCTGTTTCAGACCACAATTGACAATGGATGCTGCTTAAACGGGTAGTATATATATATATATTCCCCTTCTCACTCGCACGGTCATTCGTACCATAAAACGCATGATTGCACGAGCGTCTTACGTCCAATCGCATTGGTGCACATTCAATCGTCCGATCACCTGATCACTCGCGCGATCCGAATTTCTTACGAAACCTTTTTCAAATGCGATTATTTCAGCAACAGTTTACGATCCAAATCAAAGTTTTTCGGTCGCACGAATATTTTGTGGCTTCTTCTCGTGCGCCAATTGTGAAAGGGCCCTTAGAGAGATGTTCTACATGCTGCTCACCCAGTTCACAGCGTTATATGGATTTTAATGGATCCTTTCTTTGTCATTTTGAAGGTCCCTTATGTTGGTCAAAACATATGGAAAAAAACGTTGTGTGACACACATTGTTAGAAACAATATTTTTTTTCTAACAAAACAATAGAGAAAATCTGGAATATGGAATTATTTTTTAATTTGAAACTTACATGAATACATTGAATACAAAATGAAATAGAAAAATATCGAGAAAGCAATGATATAATTTTATAAAAGTAGTTCTTGTATTAAGTAATGAATAATGATTTTTCAGTGTCTCTCAAGGATCATAAAAGCAAAACATTTTTGTCCATGTGTGTTCTGGTTTTTGAAAGATAATACATACCCAGTACATTATCATACTTTGGTTTAAATTATATTAAAGAATTATGTTTTTCTTGAACTTTCACAATCCTTTAGTTCCATTTAGTTCTTGTCACCCTTCATATTTGATTTACAGTCTTGCTTGTTTCTGCTTCAAAAAGTTATAATCAATATATAATATACAATATTAACAAATTAAGCTAATAAAAAAGTAAGATACTTGTATGATATAAAGACACATCGAAATAAACTTACCTTTCCCGTTTCCAGTACAAGCGTAGTCATGGAAGACATTATATTCCTCCTTTGTCAGGACATCATCTGTAAGGGAGAAAATTTGCAAAAATATATCTGACAATCAGATTTCAGAATGGAGATTTTTTCTTCAGAAGAATTAACCTCGTTTCAAGTTTCGAACATAAATTAAAGCAAATAATAGTATTCATTTGACAAGATATATAAGAACTATCTATATCATTCTCTGTTTTAAAAAAAAGAGAGCTTCCGAAATGGTCTTTTTTCTGTCTTTAAAAGGTTAATCTTTATATTAAGCTACATTCCAAGTTTAATTTTACATTAAGAAATTCATCTTAACGAGAGTGTTATCTTGATACATACGTAACGTTCGATTTTATTGAAGTAAATTTATTCAATGTACAAACCATCATTCTGATCTAGTTTATCAAACAGTTCCTCCAGTTGCACCAGCCCTGTGCTTTGTATCAGGATGGCAAAGTCCTCTTTGGTAACAGTATTGTCGCCATTTAGATCAAAATTGTTAAATTTGCAGATGTGTATGCGAGGAATTGCCTGTACATGTATAAACAGTTTCAACTAAAGAAAATCATTTCTTTATCCCTGGCATGCATATTCAAAATATTGAAGGTAAATTGAAGATATTTTATGGAATTCCTCAAATGTTGGTATGGCCTAACATATGATTTCTTAAAAACAGTTTGGTTTCACTTTTTTAATTGAATTTTGACTTCAATTATCCCCCTTCCTGAATTTGATTGATTTCACTGCTTTTGATTGATTTTATTTTTGATGATTTTATTCTTGATTTCTTATCGTGATATTTTTCGTTTGAATCTTCCCTAAAATTTTAATAGGAAATAGTTACCGTAAAACATTTTTATAAATATTAAACCTACGTTTTCTGTTGATCTCTTTCCTATTTTCGCGAAGAATTCCACAAGAACACGTGCGATATTTTCAAAGGTGATTTCTTCTTCAGGAACAGTATCTGTATCTAACGTAAGGTCTCTAGCAAACCGCCTCAGTGTCTTAGACTCCGTATGGCCAGTTGTAAGGAGGCCAATCAGGAAAAGAACGCTGTTATAACGGAACCTGAGCTAGGTTAAATAAAATAAAAACAAATTAAACACTAGTAGCTTGATTGATTTAGCATGGACAAGATGAGAAGTTTAAAATGAAAGAGTATAGGACAAATTTTGCAGCACTCTATCGGTACCGAAAAGTGATGGCGTCTGAGTTATATGAGTGAAATGTTCGCGAGGGACGTCAAACAAAAGACAAGCAAGCAAACATACACTGTAGCCAACAGTTTTATGGCTTAATGGTTGGGAATAAAGAAAATTTCAAAGATAACATTTATTTCGAAAGTGAAAGTCCCATCCCTTTGGTCCCGATTTTTTTGTTCTGTTTCATGCATAAATGATGTGTGCTGAAATTGGTCGAAATGGATTGAACGGTTCTAAAGAAGCTGAAAATGTTTAATTGTTCATGCAAGTTAAACGACCATGGACAAAAACAAAAAGCAATGTGTCACCTGAAGGATCCAGGTGACCTAAAAAAAATATACCAAAATAGTGAAAAATTATTTTTACCATAATCAAATCGAGCACAGTAAAATGGAAAAACAAATAATTACCATGACTACTGTGGATGATGCCGCTCACCTCTGAGATGATGATGTCTTTTAGAAGAGTTACTTGTTTTTATACAGGTGGTAGACTTCCTGGTCATTAATAAATTGGCGTCAAAACTTCAATAATCTCAAAAATTTCAGCCAGTCCTTACCAAGATGTGCATATCATTAGCAACTTCCAGGCACCATGTCCTCATTAATGTGTAAGTACTTTGAGTGATAAACTTTCATTCCTTTTTTTTTTTTTTACTGAAGATCAGATTGTGAAAGTGAGAGTACTTGTGATCGATTTGTAGGAAGCTCTTGTTATGTAGCGGTCAAACATGTGAAACTTGTCATAATTATTCATAAAATTCCCTTTTTCTGCAGTAGGAACTAGTTCTTAATTCACTGCAGCGAGAGATGATAGATATCGGGGGGGGGGGGGGGGAGGTATATATTCAATAGACAATAGTTTACTAGTATTCTCATAAACTGTACAAAACAGTATAGAGAGGATATTACATAAAATATTTACAATAAGGCAATTCAGAGACAGTGGTATGAGAACCAGGGTATAATGGGTCTTTGCATTATGATTCTGTTAACCAAAAAGTGTATATATTTTACGCATACTTTAATGATAAACCTTTTCCCCAAAAACATTGAGCAAAGACCCATGGCCATTCATATCAAAAAATTGTTATAGTAAGAGAAAATGATGTTTTTTGACTTAAGTGTTTTTATGCTATTTTATAGACAATTGATTTCAACCTTTGTGAGACTTTTGTGGAGATTTTACATAAAGTATACTGAAATATCAAAGAAACTTTTGTAATAATTGAGATTTAATTTTCACTTTTATTTCTGTCGCAAAAAAAAACCCATTTCGCTCGCCGTGTTCGACCATCTTCCTTGGAAAACGCTTCTCACAATATTCATGCCACATCTTTTTAACCCGTATCAATAAAATCAAAGTTTCTTTGTTCTAATGGTACCCACATCTTTTTGCAATGATTTTGTTTTATATTTTGTAATCCTTCTCAAATGGTATTTGATTATTTGTGAAGACAATACTAATACTCCTTGATACAAAGTTATTTTTGCATAGGTGTCTTGAAAAATAAATGTAAATGTTTATGAGTTTTCCATTTGAACGTTTAAAAATATAAATAATTTAAGAAATTCTTTAGATTTATTTGAAGGTGTTATTAAAATAAATTACCACAAATTCTTTAATAGATTAATTTACTTGGAAATTTATTAAAATAATAATAATGTGAAGGTTATGAAACAAGAGGCCCGTGGGCCACATCGCTCACCAGAAGCTTTGCCCATGCTATTTTTAACCAGATTTCCCCCTTGTAATACCTATTGTGACCCCATCAGACTCCATTTTTAAAAAAAGATTTTTCCTATTTTTTTTTCTATGTAAAACTTCGATTACCCATTGTGGCCCAACCCAACCCCCGGGGGTCATGATTTGAACAATTTAGAATCTACATTACCCCAGGATACCCCAGGATGCCTCCACATAAGTTTCAGCTTTTCTGGCCCAGTGGTTCTTGAGAAAAATTTTTAAGATTTTTCCTATATAATTCTATGTAAAACTTTGATTCCCCATTGTGGCCCCGTCAAACCCCTGTGGGTCTTGATTTGAATAATTTAGAATCATCACTATCCCAGGATGCTTCCACATAAGTTTCAGCTTTTCTGGCCCAGTGGTTCCTGATATGAAGTTTTTAAAAGATTTTTCCTATATATTTCTATGTAAAACTTTGATTTGTGTCCCCGCCCAACCCACGGGGGTCATGATTTGAACAACTTAGAATCTACACTACCCCAGGATGCTTCCACGTCATTTTCAGCTTTTCTGGCCCAGTGGTTCTTGAGAAGAAGATTTTTTAAAGACCGCACCCTATTTTTGTCTTTTCTTAATCATCTCCCCTTGAAGACCTAAGAAGACCTGGCCCTTCATTTAAAAATTTAAATTTCCCTTCACCCAAGGATGCTTTGTACCAAGTTTGGTTAAAATTGGCCCAATGGTTCTTGAGAAGAAGTCGAAAATGTGAAAAGTTTACAGACGGACAAACAGACAGACGGACGACGGTCAAATGTGATCAGAAAAGCTCACTTGAGCCTTCGGCTCAGGTGGGCTAAAAAATTGGTTAAATTGTGTAGATGTATAAGACCTTGAATCATATTTCAGAGATCGTTTTATTTTTACACATTAACAAATATGAATTCCTATTTGGTTGTGAAACCATTCATGACTATACGATCGAAACCGAAAAAGTTTGACTATAATTGCTTTGTAATCATTTTGAACTTCTCATACAGTAGCAATCCACTTCATCCAATTCAGATGTAAAGCGTTTATTATATAACACCAATTTAGTTTCAATTGTCACATGTTTGAAAAGGGAGGGGATACGTATGTATACATGTACCGCACAACTAAATTCGAGAATATGTCTATCAAACATTTTGAGGAAAAAAGAAGCTTTTGTGTCTTGGAGATTCTCTTTCATTTAAAACAGACATAAAAATATGCTGCATTTTAATCTCCCTTCCTATTTCAAAGTAAATAGGTTTGATAAGCATTTTTAAAAAGTCAGTCAGATGATCTCTTCTTGTCTGTAACATTTCTTAAAAAGCTAGAAATATTTGTAAAGAAACTAATGTGTAGAATATTTTCGTTGAATCGTATTTCATGATTATAGGCCAAATATCCGTGTAATTATATCCCTGCAAACGAAGTCTTGGTGGTGTACTGGAATCACTAGTGGTGTGTCAATCTAATCTCTTTATGTATCATTAAATTTTCCTTAAAATAACTTAATTTAAAATAACATATCATTTGAAGTTGTACATCTAGTATTTTTACATTGAATTGTCGATAATATTCAAAGTATTTTTTAAATGATTACAATATGCATCACTTTACCGAAAGAAAAAAAAATAAATCCTTGTCTGAGAATCTTTGTATCCGAGTGGTTCAAGAAGTACATCCCTGATACAAAGGTTCATGTCTCTTGTTTCCAGAGATTGATATGCATTATTTAAGTACCAATCATTTTGGACAAGTTTACAGTATATAAAAGTAATACGCATTGATTTAGCTACAACTTTGAAGGACAGAACTGAAGAAGCAAATATTTAAGACTTAAGACTCGTGTGATTCCAAGATAGGGTCTGAGCAATATCCAATTTTTTATTGGTTTATTTCACAATGTCAAAATCACTGGTCCTACGACTATAAAATTCTCGCCAATGTCATAACTTTTACATTAGTTGTGACTAAATGGTTTGTTAAACATGGTCACATCAAGGTTACCGGGTTAACATTTTTTCAGTTTTCATTTTTTTTTCTTTAAAACAAGTAAATTTAAATATTCAAAAGATGCTGAAAAGTTTCTCTTTCTTGTATTTTCAAAATATGTTCTGGTAGTTGATAAAATATTCAATATACAAAAATCGTTCTAGTTGACAAAGTCCTGATACAATTTTGATGCAAGAATTTCAGCCGACCGTGGCATATTGTTCAAATACAACAGTTCCCTCGTCGCATTGTAAGTGTATATATCTGTTATATTTGGAAGCTTGTATTCAATACCGATCAGTTGCACAGCCAAAGTGTTGGGATCCAAGGAATGTTCATCGTAAGTAACCTAAAAGAATTATGTTAAAAGTTCATATACCATCTGATTGTAATTATACTTGACTAATGATTTTTAACTTATTTACAAGCAATGGTCAGTACTGGAGTAAAATATGCTTATACAATTTTTTTTTCAATGATATGACGTAACGTAACGTACAATATTATGCACATGTACCTCTAACTTTGCATTAAAGTCATAACTTTACAACTTTTTTCACTTACATTATATAAGAAATTCTTCTCTGGACCAGAATACAGCTGTCGTAACTTATCGAGCGTCCATTGTCTTGATTCTGTATCTCTAATATATTTGGCACCACATACTGTTTCAGAAAGAATACTGAAGTATTGAACATGTAATAAAACAATGCAAAAAAAGTGTGCATATATACGGCGCCGCTGGAGGGCCAGGTAAAAAAATATTTTTATTTGTTCGGACAAATTAGAAATTCGTTCGGACGAATTAGTTATTTGTTCGGACGAATTAGATATTCGTTCGGACAAATTAGAAATTCGTTCGGACAAATTAGAAATTCGTTCGGACGAATTAGTTATTTGTTCGGACGAATTAGATATTCGTTCGGACAAATTAGTTATTTGTTCGGACGAATTAGATATTCGTTCGGACAAATTAGAAATTCGTTCGGACGAATTAGATATTCGTTTGGACGAAT